AGGAGCCTGCGATCTGGCAGATGAGATGAGCTCCTTGTGGCAGCCATAGCTTCTCCATCAGGAGGCTCACGGTGGTTTCTGGGATCTCTCTATGCCATGAACTGGCAGTGCCAAGCACCTAGCTCAGACAAGGTATTTTACAGTCCTCGTGGCATGCTTGGTTCAGAAATCTAGGTTCCCCAAGACATGGAACATCTTTCTGACTTGGTTATGAAACTAACCTTCCAGCTGCAAAAGTGGCTTTAAGGACAGTCACACATTGGGCCACCTTGAGCATCCTCTGTGTGCCTATCTGAGACTGACCCTTGAAATGTCAACCTCTGTGCTGGAGGGGGCTGCTGAGAGGGTGCAGGTGGGAAGACGGAGGACTTCTGAAGAATCAAAAAAGGCCTCGGGCAGAGGAGGAGGAGGAGGAGGTACTTTTACCTTGTGGCAGGGGCTGAATGTCCTGACATTGCTTGGGAGGACAGACTTTGTCTCCAGAGTTGCCTTTCACAGACTACTGTGCCGATTGTGACTTCTCAGTCACCTTCTGAGGGGAACTGCTCCTGCTTCAGATGGCATGTCACTTGTGTGCTTATGCAGCTAACTAGAGATGAGTCTGGACTCCTCTGCAGAGGGAGGTTTCGTGCCCTTGCTGTAGCTGGTCAGAGCCCGGGGATGTTTACCAGGCCTGATGAAGGCATGACCTTGGTGCGAGGACGCGAGTCGCACTGCTCCTCCGGGTCTTGGATAGGAAGCTGAGCTTGGAAGTAGGCTCTGCTTTAAATAACCAGAGGAACTGGAAGGGTTGAGAATGCAGATCCTACTTTAAACAGAATACCTTCCTCACTGGGGGCAGGAGGAACGCCTGCATGTTGGTGTAACGATTATGCGTGAACAAAAATAATGTAGCTTGTTTTGGAACATAAAAAGCAAGCTCTGTATCCATGGTGAAATTTGCCCTGTCCCAGCAGGGGCTGTCACCTTCTCTTTTAACGCTGATTCCTGAGCCTGCTTAGGGCAGCAGGGCTTAGATTGCATAAAACCCAAATGCTCCCCCACCATGGTCTCTGTGCACCCACGTACAGGCTACCAGGCTGTCTCCAGGGCCTCCACTAAGAGGAAGGGGGCAAAAAGCCTGGATATCAACTGCCTGCTTCTGTCCTTGCCACCTCCAAGCTTTGGTCCCTGTAGTGACCCATGCTCCCTGGACACTTCTGCGGCAGTGCTTTCTGGAGGAGAAGTGAAGCTGGAGGTCGCCTGGTTGGGAGCTGAGATGTGAGGTGGGCTGAGGGCAGTGAGCTGCTGGGCTGGCTCCCATTGAGCACGGGCTCTTCTGGAGGACATCTTGGCTGAGTTTCTGCCTGGCCCGTGTTGTCCCTTAACTTCCTTTCTCGAGGAAAAAGAAAACCGTCAGTGGTTCTGCACTGGCATTTGTCAGATCACACCACTGTTGTGTTTGCCCCAGGAGGCTGTGGTTACCATTTCCCAGGCCCTTTCAGTGGAAAAGGGTATCAGACAATTTACAAGTCACACTATGTAATTAAAAAAAAAAGAAAAAAAAAAAAACACAACCCGAAAGACACCCAGTCTTCTGCTTTTGGATGTACTCTTTGAATTTCTTTAGTGAACTCATTCCACAGCTGTAGGCATATGCTTGTTTTTGCTGCTGTTATACAACTGAGGCTAAAATTAACACATGTGTTGTTATTTAACTTCAATTTATGCCATCCCCTGTTTTGCCAAAATATTATGTTTCGAGCAGCAACAGCTTTACTGTTATGTATCATCGGAGTTCTGGGAATAATACTCAATACTTCGTGCTATTTCTTAATAGCTTGTGCCAAAGCAGGGACCGCAGTTTTGCAGGGGCGGGGAGCAGATGCCTGGTGCTGAACGACCCGTCTCTCTTCATGTGGCATTGCACAGGCACAGGTTTACTTGGTGTTTGTGCTCACATTGGATATTTCTGCTCATGGCCAAGTCCTTGAAGTAATGTGGTTTTGTGGGAACTGTGAAGCCTTGTGTTTTCACCCTCTCGGTCACGGAGTCAAACTTAAATAGTGGGATCTCAGGGAAACCTGTACTGTTATGGCTTTAACCCAGTCCAACTTCTTTCTGAATGCCTAGAAAGAATAAAATGGGGACTATTAAGGTAGAGTATATATATATATATATTTTTAGTCAAAGGAGTACTTTATGAAAAGCAGTCATTTTTTTTTTAATAATTTTTTTTTTTAGTCTAAGGAGTCCTTTACCAAAAAAACTCAACCTTTTTGAAATGAAGGAAGCCCTACTCAAAAAAAAATCTGCTTGTGTGCCATGAAAGGAGAATCTTGAGAATTGCCAGGAGTAGTATCAAACGCTTGATGTGGGAGGCAAAAAAACTATTGTTTTTTTTTTTTTTAATCTGTTTATATTTGAGATGTTTTGTACTGCACAGATCAGAGGGAAGAAAAAACACAGCCTCGCTAAGAGGAATAATTGTCAAGTTTACAGTATGGAAATTACCCTCAGCTAACGTAAGTGGGTTTTGCTCACCTTTCTTCCACGCACAAGTTTTCAAAAGCAAGTGTTGTTAAATTACATATGGAATGGGCTGAAGGGGGGACCCAAACGCTACTGATTTCACAGAACAATAATTACACTGGAGCTGCAGTCTGGCTTTGATCTCAAAGGTGCTTGCAAGCTAAATAAAAATAAAAGACTACCTTGGGGACAGTTTGTGTCGTTAATTAACTTGCTAAATTCTGCCTCCGCTGTTCTCCAGCGGATTTCCAGCAGCTTTGGCAGTCAGGGTCGCGACTAGAAGTTGCCAAACACAACTTGGCACCTTCCAGCAGCAAAACAACCTCCTGAGGGGCGGGGTGGGATACGTAAAATGGAGGTGTCCAGGGAGCAGGCAGTGAAAAGGGGCAGAAACTGGCCACTTGGCTGGCCACTCGCGGCGGGCGGGGGGGGGGCATCGGGACCCTC